GCCAGAATAAACATCCTTATGCATAATCGCTGCTTCGCTTAAGGAATAATGTTCCTCACATTGAGAGCGCGGTCTCATTTCACGTCTTTATTACAATAATAATATCACTATGCTCTCCATTCAAACATTCCAAAACAACATTTCCTAAATAATACATACAACACAAGAAATATTTTAAAGGTAAAATTATCATTGATTATATATATACTCTGTGAAAATAGAACATACATTAAGAAAATGAGCGGAATAGACATATCTAGTAGAAAAACTATTCTATTTAGGAGGCAAGCTAGATACAATCTATCTTTCAAATATCATTACAATTTTTCAAGAAAACACAAACAAACAGCATTTGCTACGCCAGCTTTGGAGGCACAGACAAACTCAACCTTGGGTGATAAATAAACTAGGGTGTTTGTTATAAGGAGCCATTTTCAGTAAACGACATTTGTGAATGTAATTAACTCCGCTGTATACTCAGTGAGGAGAGATTAGTTAATAGTCTTTCTACTTTTTATATAATATTTTATTATGAAGCTTACTGAGTACCAAAAATTATGAATAGCAAACATTATCTGCAAATAAGTTTACTTTTAGTTACTATTGTTATTGTCCAAGTTGAAATAGATCTTTTTTGTATTATTGTGTAGTAAAGCGTATTTTTATAAGTTACACAGCTTCATTTAGGTAAATACATTCGCAAGTCAGCAACAAGCCAGGTTTTTTGTTAAATCCCAAGTCAGCCTTCATTCACGCAACTGTTGAGTGTCTTAATTGCTCCTGGAATGAAAAATTTGAATTCTGGAAGCAAGAATATCTAAATTTTTGCATATTTTGAATCTTAAATTTTGAAGAAGCGATTTCAGCACACAAACACAATAAAAATGACAAAAATTGTTTGAAAATCCCTTGGTGGCTATACCTTTTTTTTGTACAATAATCTATCACACCTTAGTGTTATTACCTACCTGTCTGTGCAATTGTATCCAAATAGATTAATAATTGAAAACACTAAGAAAATCTAGATTTTGACAGATAAAATCACGGAAAGTATAAATATTACTTAGTAGCCTATTTTAGCGCGTTAAATAGAGGCCGCAATATATGGATCAATTGCTATAGAACCATTATATCTTTATATGGAATAAAATCTTCTTTCTGTCCTTATTAGTGCTAGTTACTTCAAGCAGATCTCGTACAAGCTTTAGTGTTATAAGAACAAGGATTGCTCAAAAGATGCAATTTTGTATTCAGCATAGAAAATAGTGATTTTAGGCAACTATATAAATACATGTAACTACACAAAGTTTATATTAACATTGGACGGTACTTAGGAATATGAATTGCAACATAGATGAGGGAATAAGCGAAGGTTCTATTAATTAAAATTTATATTTTTGGACCCTCTGTTATACTATCTACAGAAAAATTAAACTGTGAATAATATTTGTAATTGATTGTTTACCCATTTGTCAAAGAACTTCTTTGGTTGCTAGCGCAATATCCAAATTATTTTATTGACACAAACTGAGATTACATCAATAAGTATCTTCATCTGGCAAGCCAAGGTTCTCTACAATATTCCAATAACACTCAGAAGTCTTTTCTCTTTATATCATTTGAAATAGGTAGAGCTATATAATCTTATAACGCCTAGTTTGCTGAATCTATCTTCAAACTGGATGATAATACTCCCATATTTCTTTAAAGAAATCGTCCATTGCAAAATGCGCGCAAAATCGGTCTAATGTGCATCACCCATCTGCAACTACAGATCTCAACAACACAAAAAAGAAATAATGTTACGAACTAACTTCTCTAAAGCTCCTCGCTACCAATGACCTTGAAAACTACAATTGTCACGAATAAATCAAAAGACTTCTTAAAAGTCAATCATAAAACAATTGACTGAACACACATAAAACTTCATCCAATTTGTATTTATTTGGTATCAAATTTCAGGGTCACATCTCCTGGTTTGACGACAAAATGTTAGTTTGGATCACCCACTGGGTATCTACTCATTATCCCACAATATTAAAAATCATATTTCAATAGACGTAGAAGTTATGTTCGCACTCTATGTCCTGAGTTTTTTAAACTCTGAAGTCAGAATTGAAAAGCTTCTAGGTACTTGAGACTTTCAATGTTTGCCATTTTATTACAAGCCATTTAGTTATTAGTATTGATATCAACAACAATAAGATTGTTATATTGAGAGAACAGAAACTTTTCGTTCGGGAGATATATTTTGTTTTTCTATAACTATTTTACTTGAGATATTACAAGACTTTATCTACCATTTACAGTAAACTTTGAAGTAAGAAATATAATTTTGCAGAATAAGAACTGGTTTCCTTTACCCACCTTCCAATTTGAGGAAAAATCCCAATAATGGTTTTCAAATATACACCCGATCACCCTTTTAATTAAAGGCCCACTAACAATCCTCTGAGATTCTTCTCAATCACCCCAGACTGTTGCATTAGTATGTGATTTTAAATTCCAAGTATGTAAGCTCTTCTCCCCTACAATTAATTATGTCCTCCTCTATATGTTTGAAAGTTTACAATCTTAAAATCGAAATCATTCAAGATATTTTTCACAAATAGGATTTGGGTACTACACTCAGTTGGCAAGATATACCTTTTTCTCTTTTCAGTCTTTAATATGATTTTATTCCGAGAATTTATTTTCATGCAGTCAAAATATATCCCCACTTTCACCCTCTATACTTCTATATTTTCCTCTCCTCTCACTATATTCCTCTTCCTTCATCAGTCTTGCACATAGACTGATATCAACACTAATTCCGCCCTTTTCTATATACCTTTAGAAATTGGTTACGTTTAATTATTAAGTATTGATCAGAGGAGCACCGCAGTTCTGCCCTTGAACTAGGCGCCGTGTCTGGTATGATCCCATCGAACAGAACTATTTCTCCATCTCTATATAAAAAACTTTGACGTGATTTGATCTAATCTGATGCATGTAGAATACTGTTTTCCGTAATCACAGAGGATTGCAGGTTTCCAATATAATCCTAGAGAAGCTCACACAGGTGTTGGAAATAGTGCTCTCTTCCTGTGCCTGAAGAACTCTAACATTGTATACACAAAATAAGAAACATGCACATGAATATATGTTTAGCACGAAGATAAAGGAGAAATAAAAATTCAGAAGCAATTCTTCAAAGAGCAACATAAGTGCACTTTATCCTATCAATAACCCACTCATCATTTCATTAGGACCTTTGGTGGCATGTGATCTCTTTCTCAATATGCAACATCTATATGAAGTTTATAACTCAGATTACAAGTCTGCTCCTTATTCACTATCAATGGCATTTGAGCGGTAGCAACATGTTCCATTGTCTGCCGAAGTTATAACGGTCACTGATATGGGTGAAGAAATGAGTTAATCCTAGGGACAGTGCCCCTTCGTGTTTGCCTCAATGTCATTCATAAAAATAAAGGCTGCTTTCTGATCCCCTATGCCCATGAAAAGTACTTCCATTTAATTCGATTGCAAGTTTTAGTTAATCACGACTTTTGACCATACTTCCACTTGAACAACCCTTGACTTAGCAATGGTTCCTTTTGAACCCCCTCAATAGCTTCCACAGTGAATGGTCGAAGACCTCTCTTGTAATACACAAGGTAAGTAGTCGTAAGTCATAGCTGTAGTTGACAAGGTGCCAAAACGTCCAGATGCTTTCATGGGAAAAGCAAAGAATCACGAAACAACCAACTAAGATTTGTCAATTTTTTTAAGTGATTATTTCGATAAAGTACTCAATTGTAACATTAACCCTGGTTGGGATCCGTTCTAAATCCTTGCAGCAACTGCAGGCCAATAATCTGTGAATGAAAGCTGAAGAGCAGTCCATAATCATCTATTATAGTTGGCTCTTCAAGCTTTCGAAACCACATCATTACTTCAATTCCATCATCAAAAAGTATCAGAGAGTTTTAACCTCTGTATCTTTTGAATTGGCAGGAATGACAAGAAATCATTTTTCTTAAAGCATATATTTCTAGATTAGGGACAAAGGTCCAGGCACATTAAATGTGGCAAAGACTTCAACTAATTTTCCTAGAAATCAGTCATAAATTCATCTTTACGGTGTAACAAAACACCTTTAAAAATGCATCTTTAACTCCATAAACTTGTCTATAGGTGGTTTTTTACTAACAAAAAAATTGAAAGTCACCAATATAAAATGACAGACCATAAAACAGTAATTTTTACTATTATGTATAAATAATCAAGAATAAGCACACTTAAGTAAAGAGTAAGTTGGAGCAATGCTAATTAATGACAAAAGACAGAAATATTGAAAAGATCAACTAGGTTGTTGCCCGAAAAAATAAAAACTTTTTCACCGGCCTTTTGGCCACAGCTTTTAGCATTGTCAATATGCCAAAAAGGTGTCCTAGAATTAAAAAGGGCGGTTGCCTTAAGCATATAAAAAAAACAGCAAATAATTGGTCAACTAAAGCATTTAAACACCAAATTAAGGTACAGAAACCCTTATACATTTTTCCCTAGTATTGTTCTGGCACAAATGTATAATATGATGATTCCAAGCAGACGAGTTTTTTCTTTGGAACTTTAAGACCTTCTAGGCCACCTCAAGTAATATGGAGAACCATGCCACAACGCAAAGGGTTTATCTTTAAGAGCAGGAATATATTCTATGATATTTACAACAAAGCATGACTTTTAACAGAAAAGCATATTTCTATTTACATGTTGGGCTCCTACCCCTAGGTTGACTCTAACACATGAAAATGTGTCACCATGGGTGCTAAGTTTTGGGTTTACAGGAAAGTGTTTTCTTTTTCATCAGTCTTGCCCCTTTTCAATGTTTGGTCTGATGCTGTTATGCTATATAGAATTTCAAAAATAAAGATTAGATAAGTGTAATTTTCAATCACATTAAAATACAATCATACCAATTATAGAAATAATGGTTGATTAATGCGGAAAGGGGAATCTTACTTGTTTTATCTATCATTTGTTATTAACTGAGCCTTTATCATTCAAATCAATCCACTAAAACAAAATATCCTGTATGACATAAAAAGTTACTATCCTCACACAATTGTCATACATCAAAATTCCAAAGAGCTCAAGTATATCAACTTAACAATAGTCTTCCCAATTTGAAAACATTTACACCAATTTGGACTTAACAATTTTCTCTACTTAAGCCATTGAAGATATATGATAAAACAACTAAAAATTAACTCAATATACGAGGCTTCTTACTTAAATGAGTTGGAAAAATCTGCCGAATAAGCCCAATCCTCCGCAAAGAAGAACAGCACTAAGAAATCTAAAGGCAAAATATAAGCAATATAATATTATACACATTTAAAAATATTCCACCGTGTGTATACTATCATTCAAAGTTCATTCACTTTCAAAGGGAATGAAAATCAATTTTCTAAAGTAGCTTTGCAATGTAATGAAAGATTTCAACATTAAAACTGAATGCATTATGATTTGGACTTACTAGGTAAACCAAGAGGTTTTCAAGCTATGCTAATATATGGGGAATACAAGATTTAGTGACCTCTCTTTAATTTTCTCTATATCTAAGAACTAATTAGGACGGTTATATGGAAAAGCTATAAAATGCTAGGAGTATAAAATCAGCGAGAACAAAAATAAATAGTGGACAAATCAAGCTTTTCAATCACTAGCACAATAAAAAGACATAGCACCCTTGTTGCCTATTCGTGGGATACTAACAAACAATAATTTCCAGGCTAGAAGCAATTGAATTCTACTGTTAGAAAAAAAAATCAAATAAGGGAAGATGCTAACATGCAAAATGGTTCTGGGGAAACTAGAACAAACGGTTAAGGAAAGGAAATATCGATTGTAAAATTAGAGCGATCTACAATTCGGACATTTTGTCTTGATATAATCACAGTTTTATAGGAAAACAGCAAAACGGAAAGTTTGTGTGTGAATCACAATTAGATGTGGAAACGCATTTTCGAGTAGGAGATACAATAGATATAAAAAGGGTGTGCCTGTGAGCATTTCTAAAACAGGCTGCTGCATATCCTATTGTTTTTGTTGTGGTAAAAAAGTGGACCAAGGTTTCGCACACCTTACTTTAGGTTGAGTTGATTCTGACTGAAATATGAAAACATTATAATCAGAAATTAAATTTTGCCTCCTCTTTTGGTATATTTCCAACTGTTGTTATTCGTTAATTTTTGGTGGGTTATTTTTATTCCAAGTAAAATAGGAACCGAGAGAATATGTTGAGCTGAATTCTTTCCAGTCTGAACTTAAATATATTATGTAACTGTGAACTGTCAAATTAAATACAAATATTTTCTAAATACAGTTCACATTCCTTTATTTATGTCTTTCATAAAGATACTCTAAAGCTAAAAGATAAAAAAACGGGAGCAATAGAAAAAAATATTTGCTGACAAAAAAGCAAGAGCATAAATTAAAGATTTTTTCTGATTACAAAAAATTTGGCACTTGTAAATGTAAATATTTTAATATTTCTCTTCTATTTATGTTGTGTCCATTTTCATGGTCTGCTGCTCTTCTTCTATCAAGCTGATAGTCCATTTAACATCATCTGCCCAAAACTGCAAAAACAACCCCCAATGAAGAAGATCCAGTCACAACTCATAAACTTTTCAGCAACAAAAGAACTTTATTAAAATCTGACTTAGAGAAACACAGCTTGATTATCAGACTAATAACAAGAATGGCAGCATAAAAAACATTGCAATAGTAGTTTACTTCTATTGACTTGAAACCATTGACAGTCCAATATTGACAAAATCAGTCAAATTAGAACATTGACAATCTAAGAACTTTAACATTATATCTCATTTGAATAAAGGCAACAAATAATATGCAGATTTCTATTACGATGAAATCACCTGGACATTTGAACAAATGGTATCTATTAAAAATGGAGTTAATCTTTTGTTTTTTACTTACTTCAGGAGCATCCGGTTTCAGAAATTCTGCAGTTAGGAAACTCCTCAAAGCCTTCAAAGAATATTATGCAATAAGTAATATTTTCTTCAAAATTAGAAATGAAAAGGAATTCATGCAGTACACATTGTAGACAAAACCTATAATTGTATAATTTTATATTTTTTAAGTTTAAAATTCTCATTGAAAATACATATTCACATACCCTTAGGTTTCAATGTAAGCAATTTTTATCCTTTTTTATTCTGTTTTTATTGATACAGTGGGCTACTATAAAACAATTTTACAGTTTATGGCAGACTGGCAGTAGCTGGGGCAACTAGGCAGCATATTCCAGTGGCTGAACATATATTGCTTACAGTCAGACTCAAAATTTTTAGTATTGGTACATAGACAGAAACAGCCAAAAGATTTTAAGTAAGAAAAATAATGCATAGATGGTGCCACCAGCATTGGCCGAAATTGTACCTTTATCAAGGCATTGTAACTTAACATTTTGGCCTTTTGTCAATAATTTTTGAAATATTTGTCTGTAATGCTGATTGGACCTATTGCATTTTCTGAAGCTCATTTTTTGCTTGTATTTGTTTTGTAGCTTGCTAAACTTTGTAACTTCAACAAGACATTTCTGCTGTGTTAATAAAAGCAGTTAATTTTACCAGTTTAAGCTCCCCAATGTTTAACAAGGCTCTTCCTAATGTCTGATGACCTTCTGCCCAATCAGGCCTAAAATGGATTGCTTTCTTGGCATTTTCAACAGCAGGGAAGATTTCATTAAGCTCCATCAAAACCTGCAAAACATTTTAATTCAATGAACTTGATAGCAGTGTTTATTGAATGGTTATATATTATCATAATAGTAAATAGTTTCAATTATTGTATTTTGTTGTGTATAAAAGGCACCTTTTTACGAACTATTATTGGCTCAATTATTTTTTGGACTCTGATTTTGCCTCTTAAAAGTAGCCACACTTTTATAGGAAATATTCTCCACACAGGGGGGAGGGGTAAATTTTTATGGATTAGAATACCTATCGGTTCTATTTGACACTTTTTAACCTTATGCTAAACATGTTGGGTTTGAATGTATTTTCAAAATCAAGAGCTAGTTTCTTTAGCATTCTTGAGCTTATTTACTTTTCTCACTGAAAAATACATGCTTTACAAGTTCTAAGAAAAGGGGATGCATCTTATAAACCTTGAGAAGTGGTAAAAACCATTTTCTCAGAATTTAAAGAAAAAGTCAAGGGTGCATCTTTTACAAGATTGCATTTCGTTCATGGTCAAATACAGTAATAATAACTAAAGAACTAGAAAGTTATTGCATCTTTACCTGTGACTTCATTTCATATAACTTTTCGTTCACAGGATAGATTTCTAAAGCCTCGTTCCACCGCTTTATTGCTTCCCAGTACCTGCATAGAATTAAAGCCACATTTTAACATGATATTTTTAATCATTGTAATACAAAAAGATCTGCATGCATGAAACAATGGAATAAATCATATGTGGGTCTCTAGGGTAATCCACTACCTCACACACGAGTATGACCTTAGAAATTAATTCAAACCGATTTGAATTTGTTTCTTCACATGGACGATTTTCTATTTCATATTACATGCAATTGCCTTTTCCTTGCTAGCATGTTGAAGAAGGGCCTGCTTATTGGGTTTCAAAGCAAGGCATACCTCTCTTCTTCTGCCAACAGAACGCCTTCGTCGTACAGCCTTTTAAATTTGGCATCTTTACTCTCAGTAACCAAACTTTTGTTTTTGCTCCCTAGTTTTGTCCAGTCAAAATTTGCTGGAGCACCATCGTCATCCTCAACAAACCCTTTTTCTTGATCGAATGCTGGGTTGTGTTGAAGGCTGCCGACAGTCTTTTTCTTCCATCCAAACTTAATTGTTGTCATATCGTGAACGAACTTTATTTATGAATGAGATAATAGAAAGATGATGCTTTTCCAAACGAGGCTTTATGAGAAAATAATTATTTCATCGACAAATTGTACTCTAGCAAAAATGTTTTACTTGATTTGATTTTTTGTGTGTCTTCAGTTTTGTTCTACCTTTTAAACACTATTCAGTGTTAGGAAGGAGTGTGGCGAGGTCTTGGTTTTCATGTCAACCGTGATTGTTTTTTTCTGACTTCTCTCGATTCGAGGCTGGCGGGAAATAGAAGCGAGCGCGGGAAATAATTTGGTTTAGGCCCAGATATGGTGCAGCAGCGAAGAGAAAATCGCCTTTTTAAGTGACTTTTGCTTTTAAATATCAATCAAGCTTATTCTGAAGAATAAGCTGGCATAAAGTACCGATTTTGAAGAAACTGAGTCGATATTGATGCTGTTTCGATGTGATCTACTTTCAAGACAGTCGATTGACGTTCTGTTCCTTGTCGCCGTACAGAGATTCTGACAATGGAAACGGATGAAAGTACACCGAATTTAGACCAAGATAATGAAAGCGACGATGATTTGTTAGCCCCAACAACGTTTCTTTATAGTAAAAAACCCTTTCAAGAGATTCACACTCCTGAGAAAATTAAAACGCCTGTTGGAAATGATTTATCTCCTATCACTCCCCTAGAAAAAGTTAGGCAGAAGAAAGCCAAAGTAAAGTTTAGTTTTGGGAAGCTGATAGCAGAGAAAGTGGCCCAAGATGAAGTTGACAAGAAAATGGCTAGAATGGAAGAAGAATTAAAGGGAAAGGAATTAATAGAGCAGGGTAGGGACTTTTAAGAAACTTTGTTTACCAGATGTCATCAATTCATTTATAACCAATAAGTATGCAAATCTTTTTGTACATGTTTGTGGCAGATTTATGGAACTTGTTCACAAAATGTTATATATTCACTTGAAAGCTTCTTTTATGCCCTCTTTGAATTTTGAAGGACCTTGTGTATTTGTTTCTTTCCAAATAGAATATAACTAACATCTCTTTTCAATGGAGCTTACGCTTAGATATAACTGATTTTCAACCTAGGCTCTTATTCTTGAATATGATCTGGAGAAATAATAAGAAACTAATAAGCACCCTTCTTCCCATATTTGCTGAATTTAGAATACCTTTTTACCAGGTGGAATTCTTGACATGATTCTTAAAGAGAATGTCAAAGAAGTAAACGATGGTAGTTCTGATGATTCGCAGGATTATTTGGATCTGCTTCCAGTGCACAGACACGAGTTAGATAAAAATGTCAAAAGGGTTTGTATTAGACTATCATTGATAAGTTTATTCTTTTCTTCTGCTAAAAGCCACCAGGTTATGGGCAGAACATCTTTGCATGCAAAATAAAATATCAGATATATTTTATCAGATATATTAGATGACAGCCCACGAGAACAGTTCTTTTGATTAACAAATCACTTCCTCTAAATTTACTGAATTAATGACTTTATTGAAGTGGGTAGCTTGTAAGTAGATATATCATTAGCTTGAAAATAATAAGGTTTTCAAAAGTTGATCAAGCATTGGATTTTCAAAGTTTTTTAAAACCTATCATACCACTTTAAATCATATTATCTAAAATATTTTCAAAAACCTACTGCACATGAGAAAACATTTTAAATATACATCAAACCTTTTTGTTTTGCAATGATCAATTTTTGCATTTTATTGATTGATTACAGGGGTGGGCAATTCTGTCTCCTGTGCATCTAGGATAACTTGTTTTTATCTGCTGGAAACTGCTTATTGTTGCACAGGGTATCTGCTCATTGACAAAATTTTCTGAAATGTCCACTCCTGTCACTAAAGTTCCCTTTTAACAGACCACTGGTCATATATGCAAGAGAGCATTTTACTGCAATTTTTCAATCTAAGATTAAGTGGTCTAATACATATGCATAGAGCAGGACAGTTATTATTGAGATCAATAAACTTTTTATATACATTTTGTCTTGCAGCACTTCTCAAGGTTTGCTGCAAATCATAATCATGATCATTATCATCACTAGTTTTAGGTTGTTAATGCAACACAATATTTTGGGACTGGAAGTGCCTATTGTGTGTGCTTTAGTGATTGTTGTGTTAGCTCAACTGATGTTTTTTAACAGATGAATGATGGGTTGGTAAATGATTTTATGGATGGATATGCTGGTGAACCTCTCTTTATCCATGAGCCAATACCTGCTGACTTGACAACTCCAGTTTTTATACAAAAACTCATTGGTGTGGATGAACATTTTGTACAACAGAAATCCCCACAGGCTGATGTAGATCTCTTGACAAAAGAATTCTTGCTGAGTGGATTTTTAGTTGATATGCGGCTGTTTAAGAAAAAAGTTGAGCCTTCTGTAATGGAATGGTTATTATCATGCATTTGCCATTCTTCAGACTGTGATGTTACAGAGGGTGCATTTAATGCTTTTTGGGCTATTGTTATGTCAAAGGATTTGGTAACTACCTTTTCTACTCATGATTTTTTTCATATTAATTTGTTAAATGTGCATTTATTATCATCATGATCATTAGATATCATCATAATTATCTTCATTTCTATCAAGGTTATTATCATCAATCTCTCCAATTGATCATTCAGTTAGTCATTCAGTCATTGATCAAGTAGTCAGTCACTTTAACCACTCAATCATATTGGGATCAAAGATATTTAGATCAGCGATTTCTATCAATGATTTCTAATTTGTGATATGGCTTGGTGAAATCAAATCAGTTGGAACATTGTCTTCATTGCACTGTCTTTGTAAGAAACACATTTTAACACATTACCTGCTTTGTCAATTATAATGACATATTTTACCAGCTGTAGTTGACAGTAAGGCTCTTTATTTATACATATAATTTTCTGGATTTATGCAGGATTTGGATTGGCATTTTTCAACTATAAAACTTGTGAAATGTCTTGTAATGATGGGAGCATCACCGATTCACCTTGTTGAATCCAAAATAGCAGAGATTGCAGCCCCATCCCCTGACCTGGATTTCACTCCGGGAAATTTACGTACATTTGAAGAGCCTTTGAACTTTTTATTCACATTTCGCCTTCAAACGCTACTCAAGGCATACTGTTGTTACATTGAACAACATTCGGGACTATTCAGTAAAACTGATAAATTGCTGAACACATTGGTTGCTTTACGACTTGGCATTGCATTGGAGACCAGTGTTTGTTCTTGGGAAATAGAAGTGTTTCTTGGGTGCTCAATCAATCTTTATAATGAAGAAGAATGGAAAAATGAGGTAATTAGTATTCTTGCAAACTTTTGTTTTTCTTTATGCCCAATTGATTCCTGAAAGTTAAATTGTTATAACAATATCAACATAAAATACTACATTTGCTGAAGATTTCTTACAAAAATTGTCACCCTCTTGTAGCTTTAAGTGAAGCATTTGCTAACTGCTAATACTAGATTAACCTTGCATTTCTTGTCAAACATCGTGAGAACGTGATTATTGCATTCTAGCAGCATGTTTCTGCTGCAATGGAAGCCATTCTTGTCAACCCCGTCCCTCAAAAGACAAAGGCTAAATATAAAATGCTTACCCCATTAGACATGATGCTTTTGCCCCAGAGAAAGTGCAAAAAAAAGTTCAAAAAAGTATTCAGTCTGTTATTTTCGAATCAAAAATTTAACTGTCTACTACAACCAAGCAGATCAACCAAGTATCATCTGACCATAAAAATATTTATGGTCAGATGAGTTTTGATTTGTATCCAAAATGATTGTATGACAAGAGGAGAACATAAAATCACAAAATCGCTAGTTTTCATATTAATTTGAAAAGTTTGTTGTTTACAAAATATCACATTTTGCAATTTTTTCTCAATTCTTTCAGAGAAAAAAACCATCCAAATTAGGTTTCATAAATGTTAATGTAAATCAGGCCTCTCCGTTTAAGGTGCGCGATCACGCGCGCGCCTTGGCACGCCCCTGTCGTTGCCGAGACGCGCAATAAATCACGCGCCTGGTTTATAAGAACCCTTTAAATCGCGCTCCTTGTGTTTTGGTTTTGAATAGTTATTATACAAAGAGCCTCTTTCGAGGAAATTGCTATTGCCAAGTTAAAGCAAACACCACTTGAATATATTTCCGGTCAATAACCAATAAACTGTCATTGTGATTCCTTATTGTTATAAGTTTTTTAAATGGCCAGTAATTCAAAGGGTCAAATAGAGCTACCTTCTTTTCGTAAGTATCGCAAGGACGAAGTTATCGGATCAAAGACCGAAAAATGGAATGAGAAGACAATGATGGTTTCGATTTGGTGTAAAGTTTGCTCAAAACACAAAAGCGTTATTTTATCAAATCCTCTTTGTAAAGGAAGTGCCAAGAAAGCAATTGAAAATTACGTCAATGGAACGAAATTTGATTCTTCCACTTCTTCTGACTCCGATTCTTCATCGGAATTCGAGCTGGAAATTGACGAACTGCAACAATGATGTGTATTTTTGCTTTTAGTGCTCTATTAAGTAGTTTTTTTAGATATTTCTAGATACAAAGTATTTACATGTGAAAACATGCCGTTTTTGCCTACTTTAACATAAATATATTTTTTGGTAAAACGCGCGCCTTAGCAAGGCGAGGCGCGCGTTTGAGCACGCGCCTGCTAAAATGCTCACGGAGAGGCCTGGTAAATAGTGAGAGACTAAGGCCCTTCTAGGTGACTATCATTGAAATTTTCCTTTTAGATGCCATTGATCTGCAAATATGCCCTGGAAATCACGCAGGATCACAGCAACAAGTTACAGATGGTCGAAATGGTACCAGTAACTGAACGTGGGAGAGAACTGAAGAAAGTATTGTCTTTAGTGATGATGTCTTCATTGTCTTCTGCGCTCAAGCCTGTAATAACGAATCATGGACAATACCTCAAAAAGGCAATAGTAAGTCTTCAATGCAGTATATTTTTAAGTTCTTAACATCTTGTATAGAACTATAAAGAAAGGCCTTTTATCACCTTGTTTTTATAATTATTCAGAACCATGGTTTCATGTAAAAAATGATGTGTAAGTTGTCCAAAATAAACATGCAAGTGCCCTAGTACGACCCCTAATGAAACAGGAAAAATGCAGCATGGTGAGTTGCTTCTAGAAAGGTTTTGGTATTGACATCAGGTTAAACATAGCATGATATCTGTCGCCTATCTGATTGGTTCTTTATTTCTGTTGGTTGCATAATGCAAGCAGATGAAGGTTTTGTTCAATTCAAATAGGCATGAGATATTTGTTAATTTTTTTGTCCAAAAGGAATAAGGAAGATTTGAGAGCTTTATCTTATCCTAAAGGCCTTTATATTCTTTTCAACCAATCAGGTCGGTGAAAGATTGATTTGTAAAATTATCATAATCATCACACAGTTCAACACTTTCTTTCTCTTCTTGGAATTCACTGTTCAACTTTCAAAATAATTTTAATTCAGTTTCAGTAGCTTATGTCAACCTATCTTTCTGATAAAGAGTGCAAAATGTTTATACCTCATTTTCCCTAACGAACGCCGCCCTCTAATAAACGCCGCCCTCTATTGAACCCTGCATCCAAAATTTGGAGTTTGTAATAAACGCCGCACCTTCTTTAGAGGAACTATGTTATGCTTCAGTTGTATATCATTAGCATTTAATTTTTTTATCCTAGAATTAGATAAAATCTTTCACATTTCAGGTGTCAGAAGTGCTGCAAATGCTTATCCCAATAAAAACGAACCACGAGACTGATTTTCATCAACTATTTTCATTTCTGTCATTCATTAATCATTGCACCCCAGATGAATCAATATCGCCAGGTGATAAGGTTAGTTGCTTTGTGTGACTTGAATTATTCCTTTTGCAAGAGGAACATACTAAAACTAAACGTCGTAGGTGATTGGGAAGTAAGTTTTTGTTTAACTTGTATAGTATATCTGCCTCAGTTTTAAACATTGTTCTAGAATGACTATTAACACTAAGTGAAAAATGAAAAATATAAGGAAAAATGAGATTGCTTGGTGTTCCAAGTATTTTGGCCGGCATCCTAACTTCGGAGTTGCAGGGAAAGCTAGGACCAATGGGGCAACCCTAGCTTCGTATGACCTGGTAATTATCTTAAAAGAAAACCATATTGTGGCCAGGAGGGCAAGGGGCTGGTTAAATTGACTCTTTGAAAATGAAACTAGAGTTTAAAGACTTTTAGCAGGAATAGTACCGCTGCTATTATCAAATGGTTTTAGCTTGCCAACGTTTTATATTTGTTGTCTCTAATCTCTTCTAATAATAATAATAATAAATAATAAATAATTTGTTTAAAGTTGGCGTACTAAATGAACGTCTGATAGCTAATAAAGAAGCTCATTAAGGCCAACTATCTATAAAGAATTAGTATTAAATAAATATATGATACAATATTAAAAATATTTATGCAACGACTGATATGGTATAGCGCTAAAATGTTTATGCAACGTTACAATATTAAAAATGTTTATGGTATAATGTTCTAAATAAAACCTAATCCAGCAATAAATATTTTACACGTTTGATCTCTTGAGCAAGGTTTCGTTTTCTTGAATTTTCCTTGTTTCCTTCTAGAAAAATCTTGAGAGTATTATGTCTATCTTAAGGAGGCTAAATGGAGACATAAGAGATTCCGGTGGCTATCATTTAAACAGGACAAAGGTAATTTAGCGAGGAATCTCCTTTACTGGTTGTCATATAAAAGTTTAGAGCCCAATACTTCTCTGGTACTGACATTGTGTAGTTCTTTTAGCAATCCTATCTAATCGTTTAGGCAGAACTTCAACTCGTTGATGTATAGGGCAAGTCTGTTTCCAGTTTCAACTCAGAATTGTTTCGCTTAATGTGATCATCAGGCAGTATCTTCTTTAATTTAATTTGCCATGAAACCTTTTATTAAAATTCAATCGCAGGAAATGTATTGCTTACATTAATTTCAGGTCAAGGGGTTGATTTTGAGGACTGTTAACCGACTATCACACATTGCTAATGGTCTCCGAACACAGGTAGGTTATAGTAGAATGCCCTTATTTGTATATTTGCTGTTTACAGTTTTCGCTACTTCCAGTTGCACGAAAATTGGGCTACCATAATAGCAATACAAATGGATTTTTGTCGTGCTGTACGTGTAAATGTTAGTTTGTGAAGCACATACCCTGAAATTTCTTGATTTCACGTAGAGCTGTGCGTGTAAACACTTGCCCTAGAAACCCCTTTCATTTTTTCGTTTTTCATCTTTCACTATTCATTACAAATTGACTTGTGCAAAAAAAACAGAGATTATCGAGTGTTCCTATGTACACCTCATATCCACACGGTCATGTTCACTTCCCTGTTCCTAACCAATCTGTCTGCCTTTTCCATTCATCACTTTTATCATCCCTCATTGGTCATTTATATATGCCTGTGCACGATCAATGATAATATGACGCCTAATAAATTGGAACTGCTCCTTGTAGGAAGTATTTGTTTATTATAACTGATGTCCTCAATAAAGGCTTGAACAAAGTTTATTTCATGTATCTAGGCCCTGTGTCTAAGATTCGTAAGACAACCGCGTGAGATAAATGTAGGATGCTCTACTATACGCGTGATAAGTATAAATATGTAGAAAAGATACAATCCTTGGAAATGTTCCCGCGCTCCACCCCGCGCTTAACCTTTTTCGCGCCGAAAGTGCATCTTTTTGAATTTAATTGACGTTGAGCAATACAGCCACCCTTCAAAAGTGGAAGGAAGAGGTTTCGGTACTTCGTAATTTCAGTTTTGTTGCCTAATGCAGAATCTGGACTCTGTAGCAATATTGATTGCAAGTATCATCTGCAACACCCGAAGCCTCGATTTAAGCGATTTTGATAAACGAGGCTGTACACTCGACTTGTTTTGTCGTCTTCTTTGCTTATCCAGCTCCATTACATGCCCAATTCATAAAAGGAGTTTTGAAGCTATGAATTTAAATTACTTGCATGAGAAAAATGGACGGCCATCAGCCATTTTGAGCATTTCATGAAATGCTGTGGTAAAATGATAATGTCACTGCCTTTCACAACTATAGAAATGAAAGTCTGGAATTGCCTGCCGTATGACATGACATATCAAACCTGTCACGCTTACTACCTACTAAGTTAGATATGCGAAATATCGTTAAAGAACAAACTGTTTAGTGGTTTAATGTTTAATAGTCAATCAATGACATTTCAATAGATGTTTTTCCTTCCAATTCTTGCTTTGTAGTTTGCATGTGGAGTTTTGTTTTTTCTTTGTTCTTTGACCCTGTTGTACATATTCTTTCTGTACATTCAACCTTTCTGTGTTCTTATTGTAGTGACCATACTTAATGCCTTGTTGTGTCATCAAGGTTTATTTTCATCACTCTATTGAGATAAATTTGACATTATCACAACAGCGACTTTAGTGGCTGACCAAAACTCCTGGTTTAGGTAAATTGATGAGATCTAAATTTTCACAACAAAGGAGTAATTGATTCCTACTTTCTTCTTCAACGGCGTCTTTTAATGAAGAGTCGTTTGTGATACCTTTAATTTTGTTTACTTTACCGAGGTAAGGATAACCGCACATGTCCAACCTTTTTATGTAAGCGAATTTTTAACTCTCAATCTAATTATGTATAAAAAATAGAAGTGTTTGTTTTGATAATATGTATAAAAATTCACATGATTTTGACAAACCCCTTTATATTTATCATTGCAAACCTATTTTGCCCACGAATAACTTTGACGACTGCATTGTGCTCATCAAAACTTCACCTGCTTCAGGTTTAGATGCGTTTGAAACCTGATTTTGCTGTCATGTACACCACAGTATTCTATTTCAGCATTATTAATTAAACTATAACACCACTATATTATAGAAACTACCTTGAAAAATTGTCAAACATGCCCGATCATCAATATGCAATATTTTCAAAAACACATTGTGAGTTTAAGGCCTCGCACATGGTGTTCCTCAATGCAGCGTACCGGGTCCCTTTCTTTTCTGTCTTAAAGTGCTGATATCCCCTCATACGTATTATCTCTGTCTACTTAGTCTCAGGATTTTCCGTCCAGGATGCTAGTCTACAATCTGCAAATTTCGCTTCCCTTCGAAATCAAGAATACTATCCAACAAGAGAACCTCTGCTTGAAAACATTCCGATTCTAGGACCAAAGGGTGTAGCCTGTCCTCCATCCATTTTTTCAATTTTTATCTTTTTTCAACAGGGCTAAGACATTCACTAACTTTAAATAAACTCACTGATTTACAAACATAACTAGCGTGATTACAAAAGGTATTTGCAAGTGAAGTGTATGTGTTCAGCATTGATTTAGATCGTATCGGTATTACGCGAGGAACGGTCCTGTTCAACTGTGCATCAGTTTTAAAAGAAGAAGTTGACTTTTTATAGATTTTGTTCTTGTATGATCATGAAATTTAACTTGTAGTCGAGCCTGGACAGTTACTTTGGCGAAGCAGCAAGTTCGTTTGACCAGCTGAAGTTTGAAACACTACAAGATCAGCCTGATAAGATGGAAAACACATCAGATGAAGAATCCGGACAGTCACCGAAACCTTTGCATCCTTCCAGCCAAGATTGTCAGATGAGCTCGTCAAGTGGACCGTCTTCATTTGAACCCTTAACTGATGAAGACGATGCGATAAATGAGAACCCTCTTGTAGATTTAAATCGCCCTTGAGAAGTTTGCTGTTTATTGGTTATGTGCTGGCTTTTTTATTATTACAATTACCCAATCTGGTTTCTCAAGCAACCAAATGTAGCGAACGACAGATCTGTTGATTTATTGCAAACATTGAGGGTATGAAACTAGATACTTGTGATGTCTTAGTGATTTGGAAGATCAACAAATAAAGATTTTCTAATAAATTATGTACCCCCTGTTCCCTTGCAAGTCAAAGCGCTTGAGCTGTAGTAATGGGTCTCTCTACGCATGCTCACTAACTGCAAAGAGGGGGATATTTCAATTATCAGAAGATTTTATGTTTTCAACCCGCCTAAAAAGCGGTTTGGAGAAGCTAAAAGTTGGTGTATTTCAAAAAATATTCCATCTTTTCTTCTTTGCAAAACTTTTTTTGTAAATATGTGTGATAAAGTCTGTCGTCCTTTCTGGACAAAGAATTCTGTTATATTCTATCGTTTTCCCGTTCCTGTTATACCTTTCCTGTTGGAAAATGTCTTAGCAGATGCAGAGATTTCTGCATCTTTTATAATACTTTGTACTTTCTTTTGTCCGTCTGTTATGATACTCAGCAATTTGTCTAACAGTTGCGGATTAAAGAGCTTTTAAAAATTCAATTCTGTGCTTAAAAGGCATGTTCTTTAGGGATTTTCTTGCAACTAAGAACGTTTCTCCTTTCTGGGATGTATTTCGGACAGGCCTTCCTCGTGACACCCTTAAGAAGACGGTTAACTAGAACCCTAAATGCCAGGCAACGTTGAAATGTTGTTTTTGCTTCAAGGTCCCTTAGTTGAAGAGTTATATCAGTGGTGTAGTGTCTATAACATTTTGCGCAAGACCCCCTCTCCCCTTATGATAGCAATACACCCCAGGCTCTAATTATCAGGATATGTTTCAACTTAAAGCATCAGGCTATGCCATTGCACAACCTTAGGTATGGCAGCTTTTTAAATATTTACTCTTCCTTATAAAAGTTTTGTAATGCTTGTCACTACCGAAAAGAGTTTTTCAAGGAAAAAGATTTGAAAGTTCTGGACAATAAGTTTAAATAAGTTTTGGAAATACCCAACCTATGGTTTTTCTCTCTTGTTTGGAAATACTTTGCTAATAGATGGGCGAACATTTTTCATGGATCACACATAACTTCACCCCATTTTTTAACTTCTCGATCTTGAAAGTAATATTCCAGCACTGTTTACCTCATTTTATACGTGTCCCTGCCATATTGTCAAACCTACCTGTTTCTAAACTTCATTTTGATTCATAGAGACATTCTGGTGGGCAGGTCCTTCTATTCAGATATAAACGATTCAGGTATCAGGGTAACGTATGTTTATTAAATAAACTGAATTTTGACGTTAAACTGAGTTTAACAGGATTCTAAAAAGCAAACGCTACTTGCGAATGATATCATAAAATATTAACGAAAATATTGATTCAGACCCAACTGAATGTATTTCTCTTTATGCGTAAATGGAACCAACAATACTGAATTGAACCCGTCCCGCAGGGGTGTACTGCCTAAGTTAATGAAAAATATTTCTTTCAGTTGTTTTTTTGTCTTGGTATCTTTTGTAAATTTTTAATAGACTTTTCTCGCAAGCATCTATGTTTAGATATTCTTGCAAATGCAAATCTTATTGTTTGCCCACATCTGAAAGTTAATGATAAATAAATCGATTGTTTTATAACGTCTTAATGCATTTTTGTTACGAAGTTGTGTAACGTTTCTTGTATAGGCCTACCAAAGTATCGCAATTCTCTTGCAACTCATCTCCCGGTCTTGGTTGTATCATTGTAAATAATTTTCCACTTTGTTTGTGTTTATCAGTCCTAGCTGTTTTTGACTTGATTTTTTTCAAAAGATCTTCAAAAATACTTCTTGGAATTTCGACCGTTATCCATTTTGTTGCTTTCCTTTAGAAATCACTCATCAAAACATTCCCACCGAAACAGTTTTTAAATGGCTTTGAAAAGCTTACATTTTAAGACATATTCAAGCTCTTCGTCTAAGACTCTTTAAGAGGCAAGTGCCATTGACATGGCAACCTTTACAGTTCATGTGCTCACGTTTCTGATTGGCCTATTTCGATCCACAATTGGATATATATATTCCCTAGCTTAGGGTTTTTGATGAATGTTCTGACGTCTTATTCTCTGAAGAGTATCAGACGAAAAGCATTATTATGTCTCAAATTTGTGTTTTTTTCAAAACCATGCAAAAACTAAGTTGTATGCAGTCTCAGATGTAAGTAGATTTTATTTTCCCTGATTCTTTCAACTTTTTGCATGGCCCCAATGCACTGTTGGTTAATCACTTGTCATCTCCTTTTTTATGTTTGAAAAACAACAAAATACTCCCCACGTACAGTGACTTTGCTTGTGTAAATGTTGCTAGGAAATTCATTTTCATCAAACTATTAATGACCTGTATCCTTTAATTGGATTGAAAGGAGATTTTTGAGGGTTTCCTTCACAAGCTGAACTCCGAGTGAGTCTGAACTGCATTTGCCAACGATGGATAATTTTACAGGCTTCCGAACTTTGACTTTCCTTTGCTTCAGTTTTCTGACATCAAAGCTGATCAACAAGTTTTGTTTTTTTATTCGATACCAAAAACCTTCGTTACTTTTATTATCATAAAAGTAATAAAATTGCTAATGCAATGGTATGCGTTCTTACGTTTAGTGATGACGAAAGTTTTCACTGTTTAAAACTTGATCCCGGGTTGTTCTGCCTTCTCGATTAGTCTGTTTAAATTCCTGTTTGCTTGATGATTAAGGACATAATATAATGATAAAAGCATAGTGTTCTTTAGCAGATACACGTTAGCCAAAGGTTTAGCCACGTGACATTGTTGATGTTTTTGCGACCCTAGTACAAACGAAGCCTTTTATAATTAACATGTGGGAAAAGAGGATTCAAGCCAAACGCTCGGATATGGTTTGATTGACTCACAGCAAAACTATTGGCCGATCTAACCATAAGAAATCAGTTTTGTGTTTAGAAGAGCCTTTAAGTTTGGGACAACGTCAGACAGATCATTGTTAAGTGTAAAGCAGTTTTCCCAGCTTTCAAAGGAAGATGGGTATAACAGGTTTAGAATGTTGCAAATCCTAGTACATTTTACCTGTACCGATATGAAGAAAATTGCATTATATCCACATGAACAGACCAGCGTGGTGAAAATTTGTGCCCCAATCAAAGAACCGGCAAAACGAAGCTAATCATAGATCTCTTGTTAGAAGAATGATGGGAGAAAATCTTCGCTAAACTGAAGTCTCCATTGACCTATTTGTTTAGTATCAGTGCTAATGTTTTAATGCCAGGTTCTTTCCTCTATCTTTTAAGTTAATATCAAAAATACTCAATGCTATATTGATCTAGTTAAAACGAACTAGAAACATGTCTTAAAAAACTTTTTTGGGGATAGCGGCAAGTGTCATTTATCATTTAAACTGAGAATAAAAATGCTCACATTTTTTGCTACGATAGGCTATCGCCCTGGCTCTTCCTTTAAGGGTCCCATCTATTCAAAAATCATTTCTTTATCTGTCCATGCCTTTTACACGACCCGATAGACTTAATGCGGTATTCTCGTTTCTCCAGCTATCTTTAAAGCCACAATACACTGGACAATCTGGTGATTGAAAGTGCTTGAAGAAAGTACTTCCACGGCTTATTTACCGGCCCTTCAAGATTAAAGCTATGACAGAAGCACTTATGAACATAGTTACTTTATTTTGTTCTGCTTAGATGAAGCACAATGAAATAGTACATTGCATACGGCCTAAACAAAACATAATTTAACAACATACATTTACAAATAATTGAGATAGAATAATAACGTGAAAAACAGCGACAGTGTATCTAGTACATTAAAGCAAAGTGTATTTGTGGTGTTTTCGTGTATAGATATTTCCTGGCTGCATACCAAGCGATTAAATTCTTAGTTCTCCTGTATTTCTCATTGCTACTTTAGTTTTTTCACTAAACTCGTTTGTGCTCTGTTATCATTGTGTCCCAAACTATCCTCTATGTTCATGGCAGTTATGAATGATTGTTCCAATCCAATCTCAAAATTAGCAGCAAATGGCAAATTGAATCCAACCTGCTGTTTCTGTTGTGATCATTATTTTCTAGATATTGCCCCCGTTTCTCGTTTGTTAACCTGTCGCAAAGAAACCCGTTGGCAGTTAGCGTTGTTGACAGGAGCTTGTGCCCTGCATGCCGGAAGATAATCAAAAGCTTATCATTTGTTAATTCGACGTTCTGAAAGTACAGCATGGCTTGAAAACGCATATTACACGGGGACTAGATTCTACCTAGAATGGTGCGCTTTGTTGCTTAGGACATGGGTGACACGACCATAAACGTGTCGGTGGAAATATCCGATACGGACGGCGATGATGCAGATGAAGGTATGTGTTTGTTACTATTCACTGAATTAGTGATTTAAGCACGAACGGTGTCTACTCGTGTCATAAATTCTTGTGATTTAATCTGTGTCCTATCGGATGCTGATACTATGTCATCAACATAAAATCATTTATACTCCGGGTCTTGTGGTATGCAATACTTGGATGTTTGGCGAAAACCACAGATGACATTTGACAGACACACAAAGAAAGACTTAAACAGACATTTGTATTAAAGATATTATCACTAGTGTTTACCTTTATACAAACTAAATATTTACAGGGCCTAGTTTTTGAATACGCGATGTTAGTGTTTTCTACGGCTTCTGTATCAAAAGAAAACGAGAGTTGCATCCTGTTTGGTTAGCATTTTGTGTTTCCTTCAAGGAAGAAATGTAAAAGCATTTGTTAACGCGCTGTTTAATAGATACGTAGAACGAAAGCTAGATGAAATTGAAAGCGTTCCCAAAGAGCTTGCAAATAATTGCAAACCTTTTAAATACATTTACACTTTAGATGGAAAGCTATTCTTAACTTCTCTCTCCACAATGCCGCATTTTGGAAAATTTAAAGCTTTTCTACTTCATCAGGAGACAAATTTTATTTATACGTATGAATTTGTAAAACGTTAGCATTACATAAAACGTAGAGAATACGTAATACATACGCAATGCACGATACGCAATGCACGATACGCAATACGTAACATGCACGGATTCCGTAACACGTTTTATGTATTTAACACATACACAATACATAATATGCATGCGACATGTAATACGTACGAAATACGCTCTCTGTTTTTTGCAAGGAACTGCTTCTACATTAGCTTTTTATCTAAAAAAATTGTCCAGTGTATCAATTGCCTTGTCAATTAAGATAGAATGTTAGAAATTTTTTAGAATATTAGCCAGGATGACATTGCTAAAACGTGTGTAGATAGACCATGAGTAAAAAAGAATGAATTTCCATTTTCCAATATAAAATTCTGCCTTGTACCTCAAAAGTCGATAAGGCAAATCTTTGGTTACATCTCAGAACTATTTGATATGCTGAAAAGCAAACTCGACTTTTGGTAACTTCCTAACAAAATTTAAAGTCCAGCGCCGGTTTAGAAAAGAAACAGGTTTTTTATGTATGAGTCTTTGGAATCCTTTCAAATCATTTAAGAATACAGGTATTGAAACACAACAATCCACATGAAAGGACTAGACGAAATATACAAACGTTTTGCAAAAAGACTATTTTATTATTGTTTTTATTAAATACCACTTTTTGTCCTCATATCATACAAAATCTCGCCTTCAATGAACGGGCATGAAGAAAACATCTATGGCTGTTGAAATCCTGCTTGATTTTGCTCAATAACCTTTTCTTTTGAGTCTTGGGCGAATACAGTTTTATTTACATATTCAGGCCTAACTACTGTGGTAGTTGCGCCAAAACACTGAATCAGTTCCACCTGTAGAGACGGCACCAGTGAAAATGTTTTCGAATGAGCTTCCTGGGAAGTGTGAGCTGATTGGGAGTAAATGATGAATTCAGCTTCATATAATAAGCAAGCATTGCTCTTGAACATTTTTTCTCCCACGAAAGGATTTGAAAGTATTCTAAAAAGGCGGCGGTACTTTTAAAGTAAATGGCGGTTCAGTTTTAGGCCGAAATGAGAAAAAAACCGCTTTTGAGCTCGAGGCTCGTGCTTGAGCGCTGATATCACACAGTCCATGTGTCAAGAGCCCTTTCTTACGTATTGAGATTTTCTTCATAACCTGAGAATGATTTCCAAGTAGCATTTTCTTGTTCTTCTTCCTATTAACAGCACTCATAACGCCACATTGATACAGATATAGCTTCTCTTGACTAGTATTCTTGTTTCTAAGACATGTGTTGCAGCTTGTTTTACTTGCAATCAAATTCTGGACACCATTTTCCAACCATACCCAGCATCTGCTATCGTCGCCAATAATCACGACCTGGGTCAAGCAACCAAAATTTTGGTTTTCAAAGGCCAAAAAAGCATCAAGCAGGTTCCATCTTGAAGTGGCTTTGACCACAAACAAGTTTCCAACAATAAGGGATTGGTCGTCCAGGACACATAATCTTGCGGTAGGAGAATAGCTGATTTTTATGTCAATGCTGTCTTGCCGCAAGGCGCAAGGAAAAGTTAGCCATAAACGCCAATATAATAAAAGAGCTCGAGAGATTAGCTTTGATTGCCTCAGAATTTTTAAATTGCCATAGATTTGTTTGTTATCATTTAAAGTGACATAAAAAGTCAGTACATTGTCATGGTTAAAAGTCAAGGCCAGATAGAGATTTTGTATTTTGCAAGTGTTGCTTGATTCAATCGGTTTACTTTAAATCTTTTAATAAAACTTAAGAGATAATAAAATTCAGCTAAAGAGCACGATTTAGCTTATCGATGTTAAATTATTACGCGTTATCTTTTATTGCTATGTTGATGACTTCTTCTGCTCCATAACACGCCTGTATTTACACTCAACAATGACAGAATCCTAATGGCCTACTGTCAGGGAATTTAACGGGTGCAGTTTTGATAGCAAGTGAATATTTCTTATATAAACATTTTCCAGTTGTGAAATGGTTAAGCTGTGTGTTTTGATGTCACATGCGCTCAATGTTTACGACACTGCGACCAAATTTTACAATATATCAATAGAGTTATGATACAGAGCCCACCTAACTGTAAATGCAAACTTCAAACAACGGTTCAGTAGGAATCTGTTATTGTAAGCATCACAATTCTGATTACTTTCCCATTTGTACGTGGGCCTGCAGGCTTACGGTTTCTCTTTTTAAAACCTTTGCAAGTGTCTGCTATGATTTCTTTTCAACGTTATCTAACCTTCAAAATTGATCAAATTCTTCCAGATCAAATAAAACTCTATGTAGTCCGAGGTTTCTGCATGTGAAGTTTTTATTAATCTTAAAGATTGGTTTCATTAATGTTGCATTTCTACCACGGATAGATCTACTATATTTTGTCAACAAAAGGAGATTATATGCTTCGTTAGAGTAATCGTTATCATGGCGAGTAACCGAAATAAGAAATGTCTATTTCTTTTGAAGTAGCATCCAAAATCAATTGAGAAACTTTAAGATTCTTTCAAATTCATACACGTGTCTACTGCCTCAATCGAAATTCGATCTCTGTTTAGGAATCTAAGATTCTATTAATGGTTGTAGAATGCACTTCTGCCTTTGAATTCTTCTTAAGACAACAGCTTTCTTCGTGGTAGATATATTTTTGTCAAAATGTGTGATTTAATGCCAACTTAAACCCTGTCTCAATCAACGAAGTTGTGATCACTGAAAAATTAACTTTGTGACCAGAAACATGAGGCTATTTTAACTATGGAGGAAGGTGAGAAAGATTATGAATTTCCTGTACTTCAAATTAAAAGTTCCTCTCAGATTTTCTCTACGTATTACAGGTTTTATTTTGCTCAACCTGAAGTTTGGTGTCATTCTCCAGCTTAAACATTAGCACCTGTTAGAGACATTTTAATCAAGACCTTCCTCAAAAAAAGTACGCAGATTAAAATTATAAGCCCGGCTAGCTACATCGCAGATCGAAATTCATGATTTATTATCTTCCGCTTTGACTTCTTAACTCCGCAACCCGGTTGAAACACACATTTATGTAACCCACCGTTATCCAATACAATACTTTGTTATCCATTGCTTTAGTTACTAATATAATTTGTCCGTAACTCCTAAGACACCGAATTCCTAGTTCACTGCGCCCGCGATCTTTGCAATTTGCTGGTGAGATTGGGGATTGGTATGATTAAGGTGGAGTAAAAACAACTACACGATAACCAGCTGTAGCAAAAAAAATAATCCAAAGTGAGATCTTCCTTCAGACAGAAAAAGCGAAATGACTAACACGATTAGGGATGTTGTTAGGATGGAGATTAGTACCGGCAATTGCAATTTTCAAGACATTTGTTTTCTGAATTCATACAGTAAGACAATTTCGCATCGACCAAGTTACGTGCCAGTCGCTTATCTGTACTAAAAGCAATACAAGTTCGAGGTATAAGTTTAATGAATAAGAATTTTATAATACAATTATTGTGAGAATGAAGCTTCAAAGAGGCTACAATCGATGTTGTAACTCGGGATTTCCCACACTTGGGGATAATCGTAAGACCTTAATATGTATGAATGTGAAAAAGTATTTAAAGTCAGCAACTGTTTGTTCAATTTTTCGTTGGGATAAACCAAATCCAATATAAAATACACTTCAAATTTTAATCGACTTAACTATACTTGCTTAAATTAATACCGATTGTTTGATTAGTCAGGAAATGCTCACAAAAATCTCTTGGTACAAAATCCTTGATGATAATCCAGTAATCTTGGCCACAAATATATACTTATTTTCTCTTCTTTAATATCTTTAGCTTGAATTCATATTTGCTAGATGTTGTTAGATGCTGTAGGATCTATAACAATAAACTCTTTAGGCCTAAGGCGTTGTTAGGTTTAACCAGATGTGTCCCTGTTTTCATATTTTCTTCAGATAAGCTGAATTTCACATTGGATTTTCCTGCTAAGATACTTTGCTTGTTGGTTCAGCATCTATTGTGTTGTGCAATGGCCATGCATTCATTCAGGACTCTAAATCACGTCTTTGTCATTGTGATGTCATGAAACAACAACAACTCCACCCATTCGCTATTTCAGTTGATGTTGCTATGCTATCGTCTCGTAGGTGTGATTCTTTGTCCTTAAAAGTGAACAGACGGTATTCACCTGCCTCTCTTTGTCGTTGATTGAATTTGCGTTCTCTACTCTCAATCAAATATGACATCTCGAAACCAAAATCTCTGACCATCTGGTGCGAATGTTCTGTTGGTTTCTCCGCGCTCTGATCGCGCTTTACATTAGTTGCCTCGCACAGCCGCATTGCCAGTCAAATTTTTAATCACTTGTGTATACGTTTCGGCGCAAAGGACTCGAGTGCACTTATGCATAAGAACGTTTGTTGAGCTTCCTGCCTACCAGTTGGTATAGATGATTCCGCGTCGAAGGCGGCCGTTTTCGGAGTACAGAGCTAGTCCGGTTGTAGGAACACGATCACCAAGAGGTAGGGTGTTGTTTTCTAAGCGAAATATGTTGTTTTTATCGCTGGTTCTGAAGCGCATGCTTTTCGAAAAGTATTTGAATTTTCTTCATCTTCACAGGTGAAAGAAAGCATCCCTAGTTTGAATCTTGCTTTTCAACCGTAGCTGGTCATTTTCACTATAATTTAAACATTTTGTGTTCTCGAGGCCTTTTATGATACTAAATTTTTTCCCCTTTGCAGTTGTTGCTTTATAATTTAAAAATGATTTTTTATCCGAGAGGAAGAAAAGGATAAGCAAGTGTTTTACTCGCTTGGATGCTTTGTTTTTCTATTGTATTCTTCAGCCGTTTAATGCAATCTCTTAACGACTGTGCGATTACGATTTTTTACGTGGCTGCTGGATTGGCCAAGCGATTAACCAACAAATGCAACCCATAAAACAACAGGTTTTACAAAATGTTTTATTCACATGCTCAATCATTAAAGAGCTGGAACATATATACATTTTCAAATGACAACCTTTTATACGAGGTACTATTGACAGCGTAGAGACAACCTTTTAAACATCACTTGAAATAAATAGACCAAGTTTTTAGATTTAAATATACTTATTTTCGAAAAAGCATTTTGAGTTATGTTGAGATGAGAAGAGAGGTATTAAAGCATTGGTATGTACTCAATATTTCTCTACCCCCTCCCCTTGAGGTCGTTACCCCTTACATTTCAATGTTAATTATTAACATGTCTTCCTTTCTGATGATTAGACGTCCAGCATATAAGCTGTAATCATTACAATACAACCATTCTCACATGCCATCACTTTGTGAATTCAATACAGTCATTACAAACAGCATTTCTTGCAGATGGTGCTGCCATCAATGCTGCATTATTTTTCCAACACATACAGTTAGAGGCCTCACTGAATTTTAATGTGCTGGCCAGTCACGGTTTTAAGAAGGGTCCAAGGGAGCATGGCCCTAGGTCCCACGCTTATGGTAGCCAGAAGGGGCCCCACTCCAAAAAAAACGAGAAATTGTAAAGAACAAGAGTCCCGCAGATATTTTTGCCATCGGGCCCCGCAGTCCCTATAACCGCTGCTAGTGCTGGCCAATCCAGACACCACCCATAGGCAGACATTATCTTCTGTTACTGGCTATTTCCAAATCAACTTTTCCAATAATATGACATCATCTTAATGAGATATCCAGCTCATCAACATAGTCTCCGATATCGCAAATAGAGAAGCAGATGGTAAATTAGCTTCAATTTCTTTGTAATCTCTAGAATAATAATCAGCAGACAAAACAGATGGTTGCCCAACACATATTCTGCTTTGTCACGTAGGAATTTTAAACCAAATCAAATAACGTCTTCTCCAGCCCACAGTGGATTATTGGTAGATGTGTATAACTTAAATGCTGACGCTGGCTGACATTGGCTGATATAAGTTACGTGCATTTGTGCAAATATTGAAGGGTTCAGCCCTATCAAGCTATTTATTGGCTTTCCTCAAAACTATTGCATCGGTTGATAACCTTCCTTCGGCTCACAGCTGTGAAGCAGTAATGTCTTCCGAGCTCTGAAAGATTGCAGGAAAAGGCTTCTGAAGCAGTAAGGGGACATACTAAGAAAGGGCCAAAAATCTTTGAGTAAGATGTATTTCGATAAACCCTATACACCCCTAGTTTCGATAAACCCTATAAAACCTATTCGAACAGTCGCTCCAAATTTTACAATAATTCACCCCCCTCTTCTTGTGGTTGCTTGGTAAAAAATTTGCCAACAGATTTGTTTGAGAACCTCAATCATAAACCGAGATGCAGCTATTTGTTTTTGGGGGCCAGCCCTGATAAATTAGTGCAAAAATAGCTATGTTTTACAAAACAAAAGTATTTTGCTTATACTACTAAAGTGTTGTAGGGGGGGCCAAGGCCCCTTGCCCCCAATACGTTATTTGCTTCTTGAAATCGTCTTCGTTCCTTTATTTTCTGTTGAGAGGCAAGGTAGGGATGCCTTTGAGCCAGAAAAAGTTCCTAACGAATGTTTTTGGCGGAAGGGGATGTTAAAGTTGTAGTCCTAGGTAGTCTTCAACTGGAGATGTCTTAGACATTTGAAAACTTTGACAAAAATAGCAAGAGAGTCCTTGAAGTAGTTTTCGTTTATTTTGATATGTTTCATTTGTTTTCGTAAATTTACTAGCTTAAATAAAACTTTGACAGACAGATTCCGTTATTGAGCAAACAAGTATATAAGTGAAAGAGGCAGAAAAGAACTTAAGTATGGAATCCTATCATTTGCAAACATAATGACACACCACTTCACACGTGCGTCACCAACATCACAAAAAAAAAACGTGAAAATTCTCTCTGTGTCCATGTTCCCTTTCTAAGCAAGATCTATCAAAAAATTATACTCAGTAAAATTGAGACCAGGGTCAAATCTGCGAATACCTAAACATATTTTGCTTTGCTCATGTATAAAAAGAGATTTGAAGCTCGTTTGGGAACCTCCTGCCGAGTAAAAAAGCAGTCTTAGCTGTTGGTGTTTCAAAGAAACATCTGGTCCATTTTAGATTGAATTTCCTTTCCGGTGAGTTGCTTTTGCATCTGCTTCGGAAATTAAGAGAGATAGATGCATCGATTCAAAATGAATTAAGATGGCTTTCTAGCAAATAACTAAATCGGATGTTGTAGATAAATATTTTGAAGTTTCTCTAATTATTCAAGGTATAAACTCTTCTTAAGCTGATTGATAACAGATAATACTAATAAAATGCACTAAGCATCTGATATTTGTTGTTTTAATCCCAGCAGTTTATTGATTGAATTAGATATATCCACTTTCGTGTTTAATAAATTGTAATCAAACATTAAGCTATTCAAACAGAACAATAAGTCTTCTTGCCTTGCGAAATAAGGAGAAGGATGAGGAGATTAAGCATCTAATGTCATTGAAATGTTTCGTGACAAATAAGATCATGCATATTTTTGGGCATTCTAGCTATACAGTATCTGAGAGACTTTTCACATTTGACATTGGGAACTCCATGAATGATGTATTCCGTTCTCTAAAGACCATTCTTACATTCTTTAATTTATTCCTTTACTTCTAATTACTGTAACAAATCTCAATATTCATTTAACGTTACCTTTCTAGAGGGCAAATCACTTCATGGAAATCTTGTAAAACCTAATGATGGAAATCCAATTTTGGTCTGAATATCCTTGGAAATTCTTTTGCGTTGTTCAAAATCTCATACACTATATTTACAATTGATTTTCGATCTGTCCTTAATACGAAGTCTAAAGGTAGAGAAAACATTTTCTTGAGAGTGGCCTAAGGATGAAATAGACAGCTTTAGCTTCCTTTCCATTCAAAATACAAGCACGTTTTTGTTGAAAATTAAATTCAGTACGTTGCTCAAAAGGAAAAAAGGGAATTTTTTTTCTATGTAAATCAAGATTTTTGTGATATTAATCTCAACTTATGCTCAGAAAAATTGATATCAGAGTCAATATCTGCATATACCAATGCAGTTAAAGAATATTTTGCTCTTTTTTATTAGCACTAATTTATACCCAGTAGATAAAAGCTACACTTTCCGCTGTCGTGCTAAACAGATTTGAATCATTTCTTTGAAATTCATGTTTTGCGTTATAAGCCGCCAGAACAAATTGAATAAATAAAGTTGCAATGGAAAAATGTATCACGCAGGTGCAGGCTAATCGAACTTTGGCATGTTATTCCCTTCTACGCTTGGTATTTGTGAATGCTTTACTTATATAGTATGAAATGATATCAAATTACTTCTAATGCTTGTTGCTTGAAATTGGATGAAACTTTATCGTTTCATAGTTTGCCAAACATGTGTTACCGTATTTTACCTTACATAAGCTCCCATAAACGTGATATATATCTCATTTAAAACAGTTGCGTTTCTGTCGCATGGCTTGCAGGCTTGCGATGTCTATGTTTCCAACGAGTCTCGACTTATTTTTATGCGATCTAAATAGCTGGTTTTACACTGAAATTATGATCCATAACCTAGGCTTGATGACAGAAGAAAGACTATAGAATCTTGTTAAGAAGACTAGACACGTTTTAAATCTGTAATAGTGAATCATATCATTCTTAAGTTCTTTTACATGCACAAACTTGGCTGTGTATAACCAATCTTATTAGCAGATATTCAAATGTTAACGTTTAGTGTAAATAGCTTTCATGGAAAACCAATAAACTCTCTTTTAATAAGGTCATGTAATAATATTTCGTTGGCCGCCGATTTTTCATTGTTTTAGCAATCTAACTGCACCATCTCAAATATCATAGAATGTGAAATATAGGAGGAAGAACGCCATAATTTTTAATGGAAATTTTCTACTATGAGTTGGGATTGTTGCTGTTTTTGACTGTAAAACTGTAAAATCTTGCATTTGTTAAGCTCCTCGTTACCGATCTTCTTATTTCTGATACTTTTAGAACCACTTTTAAAAAACCAATTTCAACGCTAGAAGATTTCAACTTCCGTCAGAGGTCGTACAAATTACTTTAGTTTGTTCAATGAAAATAAAATCACAGTTTTAAAAAGAAAGCTAACTTATAGATAAGCTATTTACAAAATCGGAATATGAGCAAAGTTTTGAAACATTTTGACAAATTTGGAAATTTAGAAGATAACAGGCCTTAACCCTCACTTTTACTGATGGGAAAAATAGGCCAAAGTTGTAGAATTAGGCCATTTTTATTTAAGAGGCATAACAACAAGTTAGTTTATTTTCAAATCATTTTCAGTTTCGAGTTTTTAGCAACGAACTTTGTAAGCTATAATCTAAATAATATAGCAAACATAAATTACCATAAGGCACTGCAGAGCAGGCGGGCTGGGGGAGTGGGTTATAGTCCCCATGTTTGCTAAAAACGTAAAGAATTAATAAATTGAAAACCCGCCATTATTCTTTTTTCTTACAGTTTAAGCATAGCCTGTAGAGAAACATGACGATGATTTAAAGCATCATTTGTGG